GGGGGGGGAAGGGTGATGGCAGGTCTCCCCATACAGACACACACTGCCCCAGCCCTAGTAAGATCCGGTGACGGACACCCCCTAGCGAAGTGTCCTACACCTCCACATTTTCTACACACCTCGCGTGATCGCCGTGAGGCCTCTACGGGTCGGGCATTGCGAAGCTATATGCCCCTTGCCCTTGCATTCCTAACAGGTGTGGTCCCATGTCCCTGACCGATCCTGTGGACGACCTTGGCTTCTTCAGTGTGGTTCCGAGTATACATCGTTCCTTGTGCGATGGAAATCCTCCCGAGGGACCTTGCGAGACAACCATGGGGGCCCACCCCGACTCTGCCGAAGGGTTTGCTGCAAGTACTGCCTAGCGTGCCGCATTTGGTTCAGTATCTCATCCCAAGACCCGACAGTCTTACACAGCTCTGCCGCGGCTGCCTCCCACATTGTGAATTTGGCATGGCCTGCATTTGTCACAATGCCATCTGGAAGGTTCGCTAAAAAAATCGTCACTAGCTGGTCCCGCGGTAAAGGTTCTCCCTTACTTAGTACGGTTGCGAACTCAGCGATACTGTGCTGCAGTGTTCTTCCATCTGATTTGAGCTATTCGCGGGATTATTTCGTCGCGAGAGGCCCCGCAGGGAATCTATCCAGTTTCCCAGTTGCCGAGAGGTTCCCGGGAATCAAATAGGTAAAACCACAACTTTAGGGAGTCTCTGGTTAGGTATGCGTGCAGTTCGTGTCCGCAGTGTTCCGCGGGTATTCCGGTGTCAATAAACGCCAACGCTGTGACGAAGGAAGTTCAACATATTCCTCCCATCCTCAGGTGGAATATTGGCGCTAATGGTCCTGAGGAAATCCCTATGAGTGGTTTACACCTCCAAGTGATCGTCTAATGAAGCCCGCATTGGTCGGGCCGGAGTTGACCCCCACTGTCTTACCCACAGTGTGTGCTCGCGTGTATTGGCACAACCACGATCTGTCTTCCGTTGCCTGGTCTTTTAATTGTGCTGCTGCTGCGGGTTATGCATTCCGCTAGAGCGAAGAGGTCACTTGTTTGGAACGGAACAGCCCCCAAATGTAGTGCGCAGGTTTTCTACGCTGTGCTTACTTATCGTCTCATAGCGTATGGCTGCCTAGCTGCGCCCTCTAACTACCCAATTTCCCCGAAATCAATAAACGCTCCAAAACATCTTCGAGTCTCTATTATAAACAAGGGAAGTTCCCAGAATAATAGAACTGTTCTGAATGACCCCCAGTCATGGCTAGGAGCCAGCGCCCAACAAATCGGATGACGTTGAGAGATATCAACGAGGGCGAGACGGTCAGGTGTTTGACCTATAACTGCAATCCACCAAAGTCGGATTTATAGATATAATCCTAATTCTATTTCGCTTAGATATCTAACGAGGCCTACCTGGTACCGAAGTAGTGACTAGGATAGTGATCAATCCAAAGCCCCATTGTAGTGCCTGTGCACTACAGTGAGCGGTTTGTGTTGCATGCTGCAATGGGTCTGTAGCTTCCCCTGGACCAGAACGACCAAAATCTACAAATATTTGTCTTTAAGGATTGACAGCTTGAGGCCTCCATTCATACACCTTGGAAATGTCCTATCACAGCGTCAAATCCCGTCATTGCTATGTAATGGTGTGGTCTGCGTAACTATTGAACGCCAGCAGAAAGACAGCATACGAAAGCTGCCTTGCCTTCAAGCTGCTTCATCTGCTTCATGCTGTTGAAGGCAGCACAGTGTATCTGTCTTAGGATTATAGGGAGTTGTCTGCTTCCTATAAGCCACCACACTGCTCCCTAGCCTGCCGCGGAGCAACACATCTTTGAGCCAGCGGCACATATCCCCTTGCTCGTACGATGTCTCTCCGCATTTTCCCCCAACAGCTCTCAGCATATCCCATACACCAATCAACAACAGCAGCGCAGCCTTGAAGCCCCAGCAATGGAAGAACGGAAGCATCAACCCTCGCCCCGCTGAGCAACCGCAACAGCAGCAGCGAAAGCGACCGAATCATCTGGGTTGCCACTGTATGCGCGTCCACATGGGTGTTACATGTGTTGTTAGGTGCAATCTGTGGGTTTCATGTCCAGGTCTTCTCTAGAGATCCGGGATTGTAGTGCTGCGTCTAAGGATTGGCTGAGTGTGTCCTGAGAGAAGATGCAATTAACTGCCTCTTTGCTGTCAGCCTACGGTGCCTGAAGAACCCCGGGTCTTCCTCCCCCAGGCTTGCTGCGTTGGGTTTTCGGCTCGTCGAAGGAGGTGGGGCGATGCTTGAGTCGGTGGTTGAGCGGCTGTTGAGTCGCTACTTGGCGCAGTACGTCAGGGGGATAAGTCGAGACAAACTGTCTGTGGCTGTATGGAGCGGCAATGTGGAACTGGAGGACTTGCAGGTTAAGCCAGAGGTCTCGGACATCCTCGGCATTCCTTTTCGCGTCGTTTGGGGGCGCGTGCAGAAGATCAAGTTGACAATTCCCTGGTCAAGACTGGGCACGGCGCCTGTTTGTGTAGAGGTGGCGGGGCTGCATGTGCTTCTGCACCCCAAACCAATACCGGAGCAAAGCGATGAAGAGCTCATTCAGCAACTCCGCCAGGCAAAGCGCAGACAGGTCGAGGCCTGCGAACTGCAGATGCATGATGCCAGATTGCGACTCGCCGAGCAGCAACACCAGCACGCCGCTGCTGGAAGCAGCAGCAGTAGCAAGGAAGGAGATGGTGGTTTCTTCTTTCGCTTTGTCAACAAAATACTCAGCAACCTCTTAGTTGATATCAGGGATGTACACGTAGCTCTCGTAGATCCCGCTAGGGGCTTCTCTGTAGGTGTGCTGTTGAATCAGGCCTCAATACACAATACCGATGCAGCATGGAGGCGTCACGAGCCACAACAGCAGCAAAAGCACCAGGCTTTCTACAAGGCCTGCGAACTCAGCGGCCTCGCGATCTACTGCGCACTTGACGGCGGCAATGCCCAACAGCCGAAACAGTTGCACCGCACTAGGCAGCAGCAGAAGCAGCAGGAGCACCCGTTTCCGCAGCAACCAAAGGCTTTACATGCAGCGTTGCCACTGCCCACCTTCCCTCCGCCGCCTCCGTCTGAACCACCACCCCTTCCTTCCTGTCCGGCTCCCTGCGGCTACCGAACGGCGGCGGCAGCAGCACCCTCAGCCGCCTTAGCACCATCGGGAGAGGAAGGAAAGCAGGGAGGTGTTTGCACTCCGCCAATCGCGGTCCCTCCATCAGCAGGGCAGGGCAATGAGGGATCGGAGGAGGCGGTGGAGCGACAGCTGCTGGCTTGTGAGGTATGCCTGTTGCCTCGTTTCTCACCGGCGGCTAGATGTCACGCTAGACGACGCTGCAGCGTGCGGCTCCACCGGCGCAGAGATCTAAGGCATGGTATTTGCATGCGTTGCGTTCGTGCGTGCACAGGCTCCTCCCTGTCCTTCTATTGGGCCTACAGTGTTCTTTGGCGCGGCAGGTGGCCCAGAAGGCGGCGGCACCCTTGCCCAGACGTGTGAGGGGCCTTCAGGGGAGGCTTTCGCCAATCGATTGCAGCCTGTGGACGCAAGGAGAACTTCCCGGTCTGCAGCAGGATCTGCAGCAGTGACAGCAGGAGCAGCATCTAATGGTGGGAGAGCTTCGGGAGGAGAAGCAAGGGGAGGCCTGACGACAGGTTGCGGAGGGGGTGCCGTCGTGTCGTTCGCTTGGCCTCGGTCTGAGAGTGGTGGAGCAACTGGGACCCGCAGTCAGTACGTGCTAAAGCCTCTACATCTGCGTTTAACTCTGCTGCATGCACCGGAGCAGCAGGAGTTGGAGGCGCGCCTGGAGGTGCTCCGGGAGAGCCAAGGAATAGAAATCAGCAGGTCTCACCTCGAAGCCCTGCTGGCAATTTCTAATGAGGCGGCTCAAAGGAGACAGCGATGCGAGCAGCTGCTACTCCGCCAGGCGCACACTGTCATGCTCGGGACGGAAGGGCTTGAAGGCAAAACCCAGAGAGAATTCATTGGCCTGTACAGCCGCCAGCTACAGGCAGAAGCAGGCGTCAGAGGAGTTGCCCCCCTCACCTACAAAGAACAACAGAGGCTCCTTACCCTCCACGACGTCGTGGGCGTCAGACATGTGAGCTCGAGAACTGCTCCAGAGATTAGGGTTTTGAGTTTCCTATTTGAGCCCATTTTCAAAGGGAGGGCTTGGCTTTCCTCGGCAAGTGATTACCGAAGGGTGGCGGGTACTTGACTTGTGCTTTCGTTTTCATCTGCTTCCCATGCGTGTATGCTAGCCGTGCCCGTCCCTTTTTTCTTCTGTTATTTCCTCGTTGCTGCGCTGTCCCCTATGACTAGAGTCTCTTTTCTGTCTCCACTGGTTGCTACGAGCGTTCGGCGTGTATCCGCGTTATAGTGACTAGCATCGGTGTTGTTTGCCTTCATACGTGTTTCTGGTGGTTCTGTTATTCGCCTGCTGCGCCCCTCTCAACAACAGCGTGTGCTGTGGGGAGGGTTCTGCGGATGTAGTGTCTGTTGTTTCCTTCATAGCCACTTCGCTGACACCTCGTGTGCCTTTTCCCCTGTATTCCCTCGTGCCTGAGACCGGTATTGGGGATGCTGCTCTCCTGTTGCATCTATATATAGTGGTGTATCGGTTTTGTCACATGGCGCCCACAAACACAAAGTGTTCGTAAATTTGGGCATATTGATGAACTCATGGATGCAGCATGCACGCTTGCATGTGGGTTGTTGTTTGGGTGCAGCTGGCGAAGTGGCGCAACATCTGCACGGAAGCGACCAACCGTGTCCTGCAGCAGACACAGTTGCTGCAGCAGCAGCAACAGCAGCAGCTGTTGCAGCAACAACGCCAGCTACCTCGTCAACAACAGCAGAGTTGGTGGCAGTGGGTGACAGGGCGCCAGACTCCGCAGCAACAGCAACAGCAACAGCAACAGCAGCAGGAGATGCCGAAAGCAGCGGAGGGGGCTCAAACAATTGCAGTAGGAGACACAGAGGCACCTCTGTTGACAAGTGAAGACATTCAACTCATCGTAGACGCAGTGCAGGTATCCCTTTGATACTGCTGTCGCTGAGCAGTTGCTGCAACTCCCGTGCATACACGGCCGACCCGCGGTTACGTTGCTGCCGCCTACCTTTGCTTGCTAGCTCAGAAGACCAGTACCTGTGCGAGCTGTACAGGCAATGGAGCGCGCATCTGTACTGCATTTCGTGAACCGTTCTCTCCCAATGCTCCGAGCAAAAGATCTCCCATACCCCAAACTCTGCAAGCGAAGCCAAAACCTTGGGCTGTTGCGCCTGCCGACACTCTGCCATGTGTTTGTGCTGCTTGTCGCTTTTGCTACAGTCGGACGAGTTGATGCAGAGTGTATCTTTGCCGACAAAGTATGTGCTAACATTTGAGCTGGAGCAGTTCAGCGTTTGCTTGAAGAACGATAACGAGGCACAGGAGGTGGCGGAAGAAGAGACGGCGGATGTGCTGCGAGAGGCGAAGTCCATCAAGGCCATCGGATACTCTCCCAAAGAGGCTTCCAAATGTTTCCCCCCAGACTTCCCGCAGCCGCCGCCCCCTCTAAAACTGGCGACAGCCGTAGCAGCAGCCGACCCAGGAGCAGTAACAGCACCGTCTGCTACTGCCTCAATAAGGACAGGGGCTTCCGACTCTCTGCGGACCGACACTTCAGCTGAGAAGGCCTTTCTGTCGGTAGAGCTTTTTAACTTGTGTGCTGCTTTAGATTTGCTGAACAGGCAGGACGCAGCTGGTCGCGACAGCAGCGAATGGTCCTTCTGTATTTCTCTCTCCAACGTCGCAGTGAGACAACAATCGCACCTACTCATGCACTTTAGGAGAGAAAACGCGGCGGCTCCCGCAGCACCCGTAGCACCCGCTGCTGCTGCTGTCTTAGCAGCGGCGGAATCCCCCAGGCTTTCTTCCCATTGCCGCGGGCTGATGATGTTTGGAGGCGCGGTTTCGGGCGAGAACGAGCTTTCGCTGGCTACCAGTTGCAGCAGAAGTAGCAGCAGCAGCGGCAGTAGCAGCAGTAGCAGCAGCAGTAGTAGCAGTTGGAGGTGCAGCAGCGGAAGCAGCAGTAGCTGGAGCTTCAGCCGCAGCAGCACGTCAGCAGTAGCTTTCTCGCCTGCAGAAGCTACTGCATCTTGTCTCACAGCAGCACGTCTGGAGCTGCGGCATGACCTGACCCCTACTGGGAATATTTTAGGGGTGTACATTCGGCTGTCGCCGCTGGTAGCAGCCATTAAGCCGGAGCTGGTGAGAACTTTGTGCGATTTTTTCGTGTTTGAAACTCCAGCGGACGTGCGGCGTTTGGAGGAGGAAGAGGAACGACGCGCTGCTGGCGTTGCTGCTCCAGCTGCTGCTGGATCCCACTGGGCCCCGTGTGGAGCGGGTGATGACGGGAAGCCGGATGGGGTGGACAGTAGCGGAAGCAGCACCAGCAAAGTGGCTACTGAGGTGGGCGATATGCGGAAGAGCGAATTTGTGGAGGGTTTGCGCGAGACCGGGGAGACGGTGTACGAAGCTGCAGTGCAGCACCTTCCGGACTTGGTGCAGCTAGATTTGCTGGTAGCAGCGCCGATATTGAATTTAGATGGAAAGGGTGCAGGCAGCGTAGCTTTACACTTAGGGACACTGTCGCTGCGGTCAGATGGCGCCTGCCCCTACGATGCACTGCGAGGTGTCTTGGAGGTGAACGAAACGCGGCTCATCTGCGCTCCAACAGGCCATCAAGAGGTTTCGATATTGCGCCCAATACCGATCCGCGTGCAGCTGGAGGTCTTCAAGATGAAAGACGTCCGCCTCAACATCCTCTTTGAAGAAATTTTCCTCGAACTCACACCAGAGGCCATCGGACTCCTCATTGCAGTCCCTGCATCCATGGCCAAGTCACTGCTGCAAGAGCGCCCGCAGCAGGTAACGACGGACCGGCAGCAGTCACAAGCACCAACAACAGCAGCAACAGCAGAACAATCAGGCAGAACAGCCACGAGAACTCCCACGCCACAACACCTAGACCCGCTGCAAGACGCTGGGGGCCAAGGGGAAGCAGCAGGGGAGCCAGCTGTAGGATTTTCAGCTACAAAACCCTTAGGAACTTTACCGGCAGCGGCAGCAGAAGCAGCAGAAGCAGCAAACGCAGCTACAGAGCCTCCCGATCCAGTTCCGGCTCATTTACTGCTTGATGCAGTGGTGACTGGGTCTGGGGTTCAACCCGACGACTTCTGCAGCAATGATGACGCAGCTGAAAGCGAGGCAGTGGGCGGCTCAACAATTCCATGCGGCAGCAGCAGTAGGAACATCAGCAGCAACACCATTGTGGATACAGAGGAGCGGTCCCAACTTGTGTTTGCGTCCATATGGCGTTTCGGCCGCTGCGGCTTTCTGGTAAGAGGATTGGCGGATAGGGACAAGGGATCTACAGTAGGTGGCGAGACGGGACCTCCAGTGCTCCAGGCGGAGTTGACAGATCTGCAGATGCAGCTGACAGCAGACTTGGCCACTGGCAAGTGTGGTGCCGCTGCTGAGCTTCACCAAGTCCTTGTCTCAGATCCCTCCACCGATTCGCCCCTCTTCCTGTCCTTACAAAATAATGTAAACCATTCGGACAGCGTACGTGGGGCCTTTCCCCCTGCTGCTCTCCAAGTAGCTCCAGGCTTTGCCTGCTCTTGGCGTTGTTGTTGCTGCTGTTGCGCTTGCTGATTCTCGTTCCACGTGAAATTTGATCTTGAATGCCCTGTGCTTTGCTTTTGGTGGGAGAGTAGGAGCGTGGAAGGATTGCGAGGTGGTAGACACGACGGCTGCCTTGTGGCGCTTTCTCGTTGTGCGTGGGTGTTTTTTGTCTGTTTAGTGTATTTTTTTGTTGTCTGTCCTTCTACTCTGTCTCCCCTTCTTACCGCGTTTTCAGCAGTTTTCATTTCCGTCGAGAGCTGGAGAGGTGTCTGGGGACTGTGCTCCTTTGCTGCGCTGTTCAGGTGGAGCTGGCAACAAGCCGCAGCACCGTCAGCTTCGGGCGCAGCGGCAGTGTGCCGCTGCGCAGCACCACTACTCTTGGCGGAGCGCCAGAGGAGGAGGAGTTTCACGATGCTGTAGAAGACATGGAAAAAAGCTTGAGAGTCGAGTTGGAGGTGCTGCTCGGCAAGTACAACGCCACAACAGTGACATCAACATCCGCTACTGCATCACCAACGCCAGCTGCAAGTGCAGCAGCGACGACCGGAGCTGACGGGGCCGCCGCTGGTGCTGCTGCTGCCGAGGCTTGTGTTGCAGCCCCTAAGGCAACACTCGTAGTGACATCGCTCCCGGTAGAGCTTCACTGGCGGCAACAAAGTCTGCGTCGCATCCTTCAGACGCTAGAGGTGTACAGAGAAACCATTCGTGGGCGGGTCCAGCTACACCTGGACGAACTTTCGGAGGCTTCCGCTGCTGCTCTGGGTCCCCGAGGCCTCCTTTCAAAGGAGACTGTGGCTGCAGTGCATGACACTCTGCAGACAGTGCAGCAGACTTTGTCTTTCAGGGCTGACGGAGAATGCATGCAGGGAGGGGCGGCAGCAGACGCCCAACGCAGCAGCAGCACCAAAAGCCGCTCCAAGAGCGGCAATGCCCAGGCGCTGCGCAGAACCACTACAGGTCGAGACTGGCTGCGAACGGGACTCGATCTAGGTAGCGTGCTTCCACCCCTGGCGATCCACAGGTGCTGCGATACAGCGTGGAAGGTCAGCCAGGACGGAACTGCTGATCGTGCTGCAGCAACAGCACCAACAGCTGGAGCAGGAGGGGCAGCTGGAGGAGGAGCAGCGGAAGAAGCAGATGCAGCTGGGATAGCAGGTGAATCGCAGGAGCAGCTGCTGCAGCCGACGGTGCAGCGGCAAGTGCCGCACGTGGGACTGGAGCTGACGCTGACATTTCGAGAGGTTGCAGTTGCCTTTTGGGAGACAAATGAAGTGGTGCTGGCGCGAATGGCTCTGAAGGAACTAAAGGCCTTTAGTCGTTTCTACTCCAACGGAGACACAGAAACCACATTTGCAATTGGAGACGGTGGTGTTGTTTTCAGAGACCGATGCGTCTTGGCCCCTCGCGCAGCCTACAGACCCCCATCCCAGCAACAGCCTCGCCGACACACAAGCGCTGCAGCTCACGACACAGCCAAGATGGAGGGAGGTGCTTCCTACCCACTCAAAGGGTGTGATATTGCAGCAGCACCTGAAGCACCTGGAGCAGCTCCAACAGCTGCATCCTCTCCAGGTATCACAGGTGCAGTATCAGGGACTCAGAGAACAGGAAAAGGAGCCCCAGCTGTCTCCTTATTCACCGCTCGTCTTCGTCAGTATGGGGGCCCTGACCCGATTTCGGCGGCCCTGCCACCGTATTCGATGTGCCTCGAAGGCCAGATGGAGCAAATATGTTTTGTTTATCGACAGCAGGACGTCTCGCGCACTTTGAACTACTTGCGGGACGGCATTTTTGATGTCTTTATTTCAAAGTCGTACAGAGCAGTGAAGGAGGCAGCGACAGCATCGTATTGCCTCTTCGCCCTGGATATTCAGTCGCCTCTGTTTATTCTAGCCGAAGACAAGGATGCCATTCCAGGGTACGTGGCCCCACCAGGATACAGGATGCCCAATAGGCTGAGCCGCGTCCAGAAGCAGAGTGCGGCTCCTGCAGCTGCTACGCCTACGGCATGCCCGGCACCAACTTCTGCTACCGATCCTCTGCAGATGGAAGTGGAAGTTGGGCATTTAGGGCGTTTTATTGTCTTTGACCTCGGAAACCTGAAGATGCACAACGCGTACATGCCGGCAGTACCCAGGCATCACCCGCATCAGGAACAGGAGCACCAGGAGCAGCCACAGCATGAGTTTATTGCCTCCCGTCTACTGCATCCGCCTTCATTCGGTGATGCTGCGTTTGCCTCGGTGTTGAGCGAGGAGACCCGCTTGCAGGCAGCAGATGATTTTGGAGGGTACAGGGCAGAAGGGGCCCACGGAGAAGTCATTTGCTCCGATTTGAGGCTTGAGATGCGAGGCATGCAGATAAGTGCCAGCGACAACACACAGGAGCCGGCGGCAGGTGGGTGCTTGCTCGAGAATGTAGAGGCCCGTATGTTGCTGCGCAGCGCACCAACTTCGCTCTCCATAGAGGCAGAGACAACAGCTTGGTTGCTGCACCTGTCACGGCAGCAGCTGACTTTGGTGTTCGACGTTATCAACGAGAACATCGGGGGCCAGGGCTACGCGCCAGCATCCGAAGTGCCTCCAGTCCCACCGGCAGCAGCAGCAGCGGCGACGGACAGTAGCAGCAGCGGTGGTGGCGGTGGCGGTTGTTTGGACGACGCCGCTTTGCGCAGGGAACTGGAAGCGCCGCCTCTGGCAGTTGAGTGTCACATTGTAATTCCCCAGCTGACATTGGAGGCTTCTTACGGGGCGGAGGCTCCTCTGGCTTTGCTGTCTTTGCATCGCATTACAGCGAAGGCGGCGGTCTCAGTCTCGCGGCTCGTGTCGTGCTACCGGTTTCTGCTTTATGCTGAGGAATTTAGCATCGATGATCTACGCGCTAGCTCGGCCAACTACTTCAAGCGCGTCGCGCACTGCACGGCCCCTGGGGGAGGAGACAGCCGCCGCGTCGGAGATCGCCATTGTTGTGGCGAGGTGGGGGAGAATCTACCGGGAGGTAGCCAGGGCGAGGAGGAAAGCGACGCTTCAGAATTTGTGGATACACTTCAGAGGCGTAGCAAGGTACCGGGGGTGCAGTTCGAGTTTGGATCTTCCCTTAGAGAGTCGTACATGGACTTCCAGTTCTCTGGTGTCACCGTGTATCTCCTGCTTGTGGCATTCATGGATATCCTCAGCTACTTCACCTCTTCGTGGGCATTTAGTTCCATGCGCTCCTACCCAAAGCCTCTCCCAACGCTGCTGAAAAATGCCGAACAGCAGCATCAAGATCAACAACAACTGACTGAGGGGGAGCGGGTGTCTTGGGAGGCTTCGCGGGCAGACAAGGTTTGCGACAGCACGCGGGGAAATGTAATGTCTGTCTTGCTCTCTGGCGAGGCGCTTAGAGAGAGACCGTTTCGGGTTTCTGTGATCATCAGGAGGGGCTGTTTCGTGGTGTATAGTGCGTTGCAGTCTGCTCTGGCTCCTATCATTGTTTGGTCGAGTGACTTCCTGGTCCATCTCATCATGAAGGGCGACGAGATTGCATTCGAACGCGTCAAGGTCACTGGCAGCAAAATATGCCGCTTCAATTCTGCTCCGCCCCCCGAAGCTCCCCTAAGGTCTCAGTCTCACGCCGGGGTCTTCACCTCCAGACACATCAACACAGGTGAATGCAGCGTGGAGGACCTTCCTGGGCACGCTGCCTCGTCCGTTGTTGCAACGCAGAAGCACGGGATTGCCAGAGAGGGATCCGCGGCTGCGAGAACTGTCCGCTGGGGGAGCACGGACGTCAGCAGCAACATCAGCAGCGAAGCAAGCAGCAACCGGCAAGCGTGCCGCCTCGAATTCAGTTGCTCGCCCCGCGACATGCGGCAGCACCGGGAAGAAACAGCTGCAGGCACCGACTGGAAGCAACAGGAGAGGCATATGCCGCAGCAGATGATGCGTGACTGGGCACATATGCAGCAGCTGCAGCAGCTGCACCATTTTGTCTCTGGAAGAGGCCCCTCTCCTGAACGCCTTGCCCCTCGCACAGACCCCAGCAGTGCCGTGCTACTTTGCGAGCAGTTTCACCTAGAGGGGAGAGGCGTATACCGCTCGGCATGTGTGGCTCCTGAGGACAGAAGTGAGTCTAGCCAGCAACAGCAACAGGGGCAGGCGCAGGGGAACGACCAGGCTGCTACTACTCCACACAGCCATGATAGGATTCCAGCAGCAGTTCATCGAATGCAACAAGCATTCTCTGCTGCTGCTGCAAAGCTGCCTCCCAGTTCCATATCTCCCCGAGGAGGGAGACGCGCCCCTCCTCTGTCCAGTGGGTCGGCAGCTGCCGCTCCCAAGCAGCCGCAACAGCCGCAGCCGCAGCAGCAACAGCGCGAGGTGGGTACAGATGGACCACAGAAGCCTGACGACCAACGGCGGCTAAAACAGAAGCAACGCGGAAAGCAAGCACCAACTCGGAGTGCCCTGCAGCAGCAGTGCACACCAATGGAACAGGAACAAATGGGGGCAAGTGCCCAGCCTCGCGTGGCAACATTCATCGACATGTCTTTCGATATTCCGCGTACGTGGGCATTCTTATGCTGCTGTTACAGCTGCCGGTGTCGCTGGTCTTGTTGCTGCTGTTGTTACTGTTCCTCCTGTTGCTGTTGGGGTTACCGCCGCCTGTCCTGCCGCTGTGCAAGTCGTTGGTGCCGCTGTTGCGGCCTGCGCTGTTGCAAAGGTCGTTCGTTGCTTTACTCTCTCAGCAGTGACTGGCGCAGTTATCGCTTCTACTTCTGGTCCTTCTGCGGGTATGGCTGGGAATTGTGTCGTTGAAGGCTGCTGTTGCCTTGTTGGGTGTGTGCAGTTTTCTTTTTGCGGGTCTCTTGTAGAGACATGGCCCTGCTGCTGGCTGCTGCCCAGGGCTTGCACTCCGATGGGCCCAGCGTCTGCCCTCCTCAGCAGCCTCCCCCTATCTGCTTGCCTGAGGCGTGTGCTCGGCGTCAGCAGCGACAGCAACAAGAGCAGAAGCAAGAAGATGCGGACATACGTGTTTCGCAGCAGCTACCCCCTCTTGTGGAACGAACGGCGAAAATATCCCTGTGTTTGGACGGAGCTCAGTTGCTTTTGCTGGACGACCTGAGGTCTTCAGTGCTTCCAGTGCTGCAGCTGAGGCTGTCAGCAGGGGGTCTGATCTTTGACATAATGTCATCGCAGCTGCAAGTAGCACTGCGGGACTTCTCTTGCGGGCTCGACTACCTGAATGCAAAGGCTGGATGCTGGGAGCCATTTATAGAGAAGCTGGACATCACTGCAGTGTACCGCCGCGATTACGCAGAAGAGAAGCAGCAACTGCTGCAGCGGCAGCAAGCGCAGGTTGGGGCCTTGGAACTGCTCCCTGGGGAAGATCCCTGGGGTTCCTTCAAGGCTGCGAAAACGCTGATGCTGCACAGCCAGTCTCCATTCTGGCTAAACTGTACTCCGCAGCTGTGCGACCTTTTCGCGTGGTTCTTGCCGTACCTGCTGGCGCACCTCACCGAAGGCGGCGTCCCCACGCCAGACTCAAAGGGCTGCGTAGTCAGGGAGGGGCCCAGAAAAGGGTGTCTCAGCCCTTCAACAGTGGCCCGCGACTCTTTGGCTGCTCCGTCGGGCCCTATCCCTTCCACCCTGCAACTACTGGAAGGAGACACAGAGCAGGATGATGATGCCCCAGAGCCGCAACAGGACCTCCTTGTACGGCTAGGACGGAGCTGCAGCGAGGGACAGGGCGCCTCTTCTGCTGCGGGGGCAGCGCCCGCCACCACGACAGCGGCAGCTGTTGCTTCTATGGGAAGGGAGGTGGAGGCCGCTTTCCGCTACCTGAACCTGACAGGTGAATGCCACTACGCCTTTACCATGCACAAAGTGGGCGGACGAAACCGGGGCGTTATGAAGGAACAGTCTTCTAGAAGCAGCAACCCCAGCAATAGCAGCGGCAAGGGGTGTGGCCTCAGCAGCAGCCGCATTGCGTTACGGGGTGGAGCGGGCGGTGGTAGAGGGGAGCGCAGCGAAATACAAACTGTAGATGGCTTGCTACTGTTATTACCGGGGTCGTCGTCTCCGCTGCCGTTAGACGGCCTGCTCCAGAGCCGCACGGCTGAGGCCTCGCGGCGGTCACGCAACCGCCAGCGTTTTTATATAACAAATTGCCCCCCCGTAGAGTCTGTGCTGCAGCTGAGAGAGATGTTTCCCTCTGTCTCCGTCCCTGCAATCTGCCGCAGCATCATGTCCACTCAAGACGTGCAGCACACACTCAGGTTCCTTACTACCAACGAAGAAATGCGCAGAAAAATTAGAGTGCGAAACCTGGCCTCCGCATCTGTCGGGCTGCATCGGGTCTCCCGAAGTTCATCACCGTCTCGTTCCAGTGCCAATACCGCCGCAGCAATTCTTGTCGGTCCCACGGATGCCCAGCAGCAGCAAAACAAGGACGCGGATCTGTCACAAAGCCCCAGGGCAGTAGCAGCACCACCACTTTCTCCCCGCCGGCTGTCGGAGGGGTGCATTGACCCATCCCCTCCTGCCATTGGCCCCTTTCCTAGGGGAACGAAGGCCGTGGCTGTCGACAGTATGCGCAATTGCTGCGTGACATTACTTCCCCCCGTGAGACATTCATTGCCGAACCCCAAGTACAGCACGGCTCCAGCAGCAGTAGCGGCTCTCCGAGGACCTACGGGCACAGCGAACGCTGTCGCAACTACTACAGAGAGGTTCCTGGGAGGCAGCAGCAAAGGAGTAAGCAGCAACACCACCACGGTCTCCAGTAGTAGCAGCAGCAACAACAACAAATTTGCTGCCAGGCAACTGCAGCGGTTGCGCAGCTCGCTGACCATGAAGGACAGGAGGCCTTCAGGGGCCCCGTTGGCGCCCCAGCTCAGTCACGCCTCCACCATTACCTCGGCGAATATCACCACCGCAGGAGCCCTGGAGAAAAGGGAACTCTGGAAGCAGCGACAGGAGGAGCAACAAGAACAACAGCATCAGCAGCAACAGCAGCAGGGGACGGCCAACCCGACAGACGTTCCACCGCAGGAAGCAAGGAGGCACCCTACAGCTCTGGGAATTGCAGCACTCGGAGGAGGGAGCGAGAGAAGCTTCCGTAGTATGCCGTTATCAGGTGTGTCGGACTGCGTTTGCTATTGCTGCTAATGTGGCTACTGGTGCCGGTGTGTGTACCTTCTGCTGCTTGCCCCCCGTGCTTTACTTTTAAACACGTTGTAGCGCAAACGCTTGCCTCCCCCTACTCTTATGTAGCACTTGGGCCGCCAGGCAATCGGTGATTTCGGTGCTGCGTTGCATGTGCTGCAGTGTTCTCCCTGGTTTGCTTTGGGTTTTGTGGGCAGGGCAGTCCATCTTTGTGGATTTGGAGCTGTGGCGGGCGAGAGGGTCTCGGGGCGAGTCTCTTCAGCAGCTGAGCGGGGAGCACTCAACAATAAGCAGCAGCTTCTCGGCGCCTCTGCCGTTGGCCCACGTGGACAGCACCAGCGAGGCGATTTGCCAGGTGTTAAGTCCGCATCCGTCTTACAAGTTGCTGCTGCTCTCGACAACTGTCTCGGTGCACAACAGCAGCGGTATGCCCCTGGAAATATGCTTTCTCGACGCAGAGCTCAATCCCCTGTTGTTGCCAGCTGCTCACGGCGCCTACGCGCCGCTGGAGGCCATTGGTGAAGCTCCACCCTGTGCTTGCAAGAGAGGGCATCTGTCTATGGAGGAGCCGTCGTCCTTACACCCGGACTTGTTGAGGGTCCCTGAGTGGATGTTGCTGCGGGAAGAACGGTGGAAATTGGTGCAACGGCGCGAGACGCTGCAACACAAGGAACAGCTGAAACTGCTGCAGCAGGCCTCAGCCGCAAAATCACCCTCTCTCAGGCGCACAGCCGCTGCCCCCTTCAGGAGATCCTTGACGGAGTCCGGCCGCATAACAGGGTACACAAAGTCTCCGACATCCCATGGTTCTCTGCAGCACGAAAAGTCTGCCCGTGATGGTGACCTCAGCTCTGAATCGCACACGCGGCAGCCGGCCGAGAGACTCACATACACCTTTCTTTTGCCGAACCAGCACGTCCTCTCGGTACCGCAGAGGGCAATTCTAGGCAGCGGATGGTGTAACGTCTGCTTCCGACCTGCAGCATTCGCTGAAGAAACAGCAGCAGCAACTGAAGCAGCATCGACGGCGGGAGCAAACCCAGTAGGAGACCCACCCGAGTGTGCGAACTCAGATGCTGAAGTAAGCAGGATTTGCTATTCGCTGCGTTGTTGTGTTTTCCGTAGGCTTTTGTTTGTGTCTTGCTTTGTGCTCATCGTAACTGCTCACGGCAGTGCGTGGGCTGCAAGTAGCAGCAGAGTTAAGGAAGTGTGCGTTGCTGACAACGAGACAGAAGTTTGTCCTCTTGGTGTCTCCGTTGCTTTTATGTGAGCGTTATCAACAGGCTGAGTTGATTCCCGCTCCTCCAGATATGACCTGTGTAGCTGGTTGGTGCGACATGATAGACACGAGACACCGGATGAAAGGCCTACGGTGCAGACAGAGCTCCTACCTACCTCCAGACTGCCGTCCAGGGGCATCTGTTGGTGCTGCTGCTGGAGCTACAGGCGCAGATGGTGGTGGTGTAAAGACAGTGCGGAATTTGTATTTTCTGGTGCACATTGAAGGGCGGAAAGGGGCTTTGCCTGCGGAGAAGGAGTTGAAGAGGGTGACGATATTTCCGTCCTTGACTTTGGTGAATGCCACGCCAACAGAGCTAGAGGTTTGCATTGCCCCGTCATCTTCTTCCTCGAAGGCCAGCCGAAGGCAACTGAACGCTACGCCTACAAGCAGCAGGACGGCTGAAGCAGCACTGCAAGAGTTGCATGCGCTGCAGCAGCGACCCATTCTTAACGCAACACTCAGAAGACGCTCCACCTTTTTGGTCTACGCCGTGCCTCCCAACAGACCCTTGCGGTTTCGAATGCGGTTTGCAATGCTGGAAGGTGCAGAGTGGTCTTCCACCGTCTCGGACCTACTGAGCTCACAGGTATTGCAGTGGCGGGTTGCTGCGGAGATGCAGGAGGCACAACAACCTCACGCTAGAGTACTTCACCCCAGCTCTGTCCGTCCGCTTGTCGCTGCGTTCTTTCTCTGGGCAGAAACTTGAACTTGATTGAATTCGCTTGCTGTGAATCATATTTAGAGCGCGTTCCTGTTCTTTTTTCATGAGTATCCGTGCAAGCATACTACAGAAGAGCTGGTAGGACTCGGGCCTGTGGGTGTGCGGAGAGCTGCAGGACGAAGTGGTAACCAGGGTGCTGGTGCCGTCGCGCCACAACGCCTCTGTTGAGCTGGAGGTGCTGCACGACACGGCGGAGGTAATACCTTTCCTGCCCTACGTCTCCCCTCGGCAGTTGGTGGCTGTCATTGCAGCACCTCGCGCCTTCATAGACCGCACCGGCTTGGGGGTCCGACCCATACAGGATGGTCGTTTCTTCCCCGAATTCGACGGTCAAAGCCTCTTAGGGGACTCCGCTGTGCGTTTTATTTCATCTGTTTTCTGTTGCTTCTGTTTCGTAACCTCATTGTCTCTTGTGCAACCTTAACCCCCCTAGGATCTGAATTCGTAGCATAGAACAAGCGAAGGGATTAGCTGGTTTGTTTGCAACCGTTTACATGTTGTGTCTCGTGGAGTGTCCAACTTTCTGACTGTATCGGGGAGAATCCCTTGTCTGTCTTCGCAGACCTCGGACGTCACTCTGCTGCTTCCTAGACGACGGGGTCTGGGGCAGCCCGTGGAATGTCGCGTCAGCGTCCCTGCCCTAGGCGGGTACAGCCATGCAACGCTCGAGGCCGAAGATCGTTGTTACACTTTGCGCCTCAGGAGCGAGAAGATGGACCCTTCAGAAACCGCAGGTGGGTGCTTGGACACAAGCGTGCAATCTCTCTAGGGACACAGGCGTTCAACCTCCCTTGCATCGGCGCCCTAATTCGTCTAGTAGCTATATTCCCCTTCGTAGACAAACAGTTCACTTCGGGGTCTGCTTCTTCAGTCGCCCAGGCCTTGAGCACGGCTTCTCTAGATGGGTGTTCGGTGATTGTGGACTCTCTTTAGGGGCTATTTGCCGAGTTGTGTCTCTCGTGCCGGAATTCATACTGACGAATGCGCTGAAAGTACCGCTCTTCTTCCGGCAGTACGGCACCCCAGGACCTGCCTTCGAAGGTGCGCCAGGGCCTGTAGTCTCATCGGAGCTTCTGTAGGGATCGCATCTCACCGTTGTCTTTGCGGCGGGTCCACTTTTGTCTGCTGCGAAAATGATAACCTACGGATGCAGCAGGCCTGTGCTACCTGTAGACTAGACACTATCGTTTAGATTTGTGAATTTGTAGTTTGTTTCTGATTTTTCAGTTCACCCGGGCCAAAGCTACCCAGTCTACTGGGCGAACTCCGAGCTACCGCAGGCGATTCAATTTCGCCCGGGGGCTGGAGACGGCTACGCGTGGTCGGGAGCAGTTGTTGCGAGTGAAGAGACAGCAGGCAAGAGCTGGATTGCTCTCTACAACGGCATGCGCGATGCAGCACCTGGTATGCATCCGGCTTCGTTGCTTCCACGGGGATTGGACTGAACGTTCTGAAGTCCTTAACGTTGCACTCTAGATACATAATAGATACATAAAGTCATCGTGGTCTTGGATGCCACACAGGAATTTGTGCACATGGAAATGGCATCTTTCGCTGAGTAGCAAATGACCTGGGTTCTGCTGTGTTGCTTGTGGCGCTCTGGCTTCTATTTAGGTGTCTTCTGCGTTGAAGTGGCGCCTGATGGAGGCGTCAAGAGTATTTGCATTCGGGGGGTTGAGGGGAACTCGGAGGGGTTTTTGGTTATTAACAGGTGTCCCGTGATTCAACGCGTTATGGTTCATACATATCACACCGAGATGAGCGTCCAAGGCCAGAGCACTGATATAGGAGGGGGGCCTTCATCCTTTCCCCCGTCATCGTCTAACTGGAGCAGGCACCCCCTAAAACTTCCGGATTTTGATTTTCATTTCTTCGCAAATGAAGGAGAGACCGTGGCCTATGGATGGCCATTCCCCTTCACCTACACCTCGAGGCCTGTGAGATCCCTGAGGACTTGGAATGGAGCCTTGCTGCCTCAGTTCCCTGTCGCTTGCCTTTCGCTGCGATGCATCCCACGTGCATTCTTTGCATGTGCATGCACTCCTTATTATGTTATTTATGCCTTATATGGCTCTGATCTGTTCACACCAGTAGTTACGCAAACTGTTCGTACGCCAGCTTCAAGGCGTATAGGCTGCTGCTTTGTGGACAGGACGGTTTGGTTTGAATGAACCAAACGTGTGGCCATATTCCTCATTGTTAATCAGTTTAGTAGCTTAACCGCTGTGCCTGCTTTGCTCCAGTGCCAAGTACTCTTGTGGATCGACAGCAAGACCGTGGCACCTAAGAGTCCTATCGCGCTGGACTTGGAGACGCCGCAGTACAAACGCTATGAAGTGAACCTCGGCCTCCCTGACATGCCCCAGATTATAGTAAGGACGGAGAAACGAGGTGATGCAATGATCATTGAAGTCCGGCCTAAGCCAGGAACTGGGCCTGAAGGCACTCTTGCGGTGATGCCTTCAACCAGGCCCCACGGAGCTGAGCATGAGATGGTAGGTAGGAGACTTGCCCAGCATCCGTTTCATGGAAAGCGAAAGACTAGTAGCAGGTTGCCTTTGTGTAGCTAAATAACATAGAGTCGCAAAGTCCGAGAGACAGGAGCATCAGACATTATGACCTCCCCAAACTTGAATTCCAGTTTTCATTGCAGGCGGCCGAGACCCCCTTGCGGAGTTTACACGTGGCAGTAACCATGGCTCAAGTAGGGATCTCCCTTATTTATGATGCTGTGAGAGAAGAGCTCTGTTTCGCGGAGATGTCGCAGCTTGCCATCGGTTTTCAGGAGAGGGGAGAGCGGCAAAAGTTGCTCGTCCGCATCGCCGACATCCAAATCGACAACCAAATGGAACGGGCAAGAAAACCGGTGCTCCTGGCCAACAGAGGTGGTGGTGGCCACGGCGCTGAAGAGGTATTCACGGTATTCACAAGGACAATTTACACGTCCTCTGTATGTGCACAGTCTATCGAAATGGAATATTCATCCATGTGACGGTAGCGCAGTCGGGGAGTCTCGAAAACGAAGCACCACGCTGCAGTGATGGTCTTGTTCCACGTTTGCCTTCCATGCAGCACATGTAGTTGGTTCGGCAAATGACTGAATCCTGTGGCGAAAGGTTTTTAATGAATTTCTACTTCAGTATGCTGGCAAATAATGCAGCTGCAAAAGTGTGCAAACGAGACCAGCTGCTTCGGGGTCCCCGTGATGATGCAATGGCAATGTTTGTTGGTTTTTGTTGTGATATGGCACGCCAATAGAGACCACTTGATTGATGCGCCCGTGAGTCTACTCGTCTGCCAATTGGCCTGGTGAGTTTGCCGTTTGAGCCAGTTTGTTTTTGATGCATGCAGTCCTCGACTCACAACGCCTCGAAGCCTTTTCTGAGTCTTTTTGTCGTTCGCCACCACACGACCAGCAGCGATGTCATTCTGCGCCGAGTCCAGCTCGAGGTGGACAACTTGGAAGTGGAAATCGATGCCGATGCGCTTAACGGCCTCAACGTAATTTCAATCCCTGATACACCCGCCTACTCTATATGAGTTTAAATTCTTGTAAACATCGTGGCTGAGTTGCACTGCACAGTCTGCTGTTTTCATGTATTCCATCGTCGGTTAAAGAAATAAAAAACGGAGAATAGTACTGAAGCGCTGACCTCCATACCATGAGGCCGACGAGCGAAAGATCTGATTAATGAAGTTTCTTTCGACGGTACCACTAGGACCACATAATAATTAACTTTCCGTGGTGTTGGTTGTGACGGGACATTCCAGAAGTCTTCTATGTGTTACGGCCGTAGCCTTTACAAGCGATGATGTGACAAGAACGGAGTGCTTATCTGTTACATTCGAAGGATTTGAGTTCTCTGCAGGATTTCTTCTGGGCATGCATGACGTCGCTGGGGCTAATGAGCGCCGCATCCCGTCGGACAATATCAGCTGAAGACATGGATGTGTGGATTGAATCCCCTATTCACCAAACGTATATCTGCCCCCCCCTTCCCACGGTCTTATCTTTAGAATCCATGCTTATCGACAGATTTGACGTTTACTGCTGGTGTTCTTTCGTCTTGGATAAGCTGCACATGCTCTCTGATCTTCTCAAAGTAGGGCTGCGCATTCTAATGGCGTCAGGACGCCTAGAGCTTATGGTAAGCTGTGAATGAGTACCTCACGCCTGGCACCTAATGAGGGCGATGCTAGCTACATTTTAATCTGCATTTTATACAGTGGCTGCGGATAACGGCATCTGTTTAATTTGTTGCTATTGACAATGTTTCCCACTCTCTTATGGATACCAAATCCATAAGAGCCAGAAGCTGCAGCGACGCTTCTGCTTGTAGAATATGTGGGTTTGTACGCATCGTAGGGTGCGAAGCTGAATTTCCAACGAGAGGAATTCAGGAATTTGCGAGGAACGGCGAAGACCTTCGTGGCATCGTTGCAAGAACGTTACACGTACCATTTGTTGAATTCTGTTTTCTCGTCTCTGGGGCAGAGTTCGCTTTTGAATTTGCCGCGTATGCCATTCGAGTTGGGAAAGAACACAATCGGTTTGGCGGCGAATGCGGTGGACAGCGTAAGCGCTGGTTTGGGGAGTTTGCTTTCAACTTTCACTTTTGACTCTGAGTACATCAACAGAAGACAGAGGGAACGCGGGCGGAACACTGCAAGCATGCGAGACGGTTTCCTGTCAGCGGGAAAGAACATCGGAGAGGGCATGTGGTCTTTGACAAACATCGTAACAAAACCCATTGAGGGGGCGCAACGGGAAGGCGTCGGCGGGTTCTTTAAAGGCATCGGCAAAGGCATCGTTGGTTCTTTAGTCAAGCCTCTCGATAAGGTCGGCCAAGCCGTGTCCGATGTCACAAGAGGTATCAAGGCGGAGGTTTCTAGGCCGATAGGAGCGTACAAATTCAGAAATGAGCGACGGCGTAAACCACGGATGCTGGGGGAGCTTGGGGAAATCAGGTGCGAGCGACTCATTGCTTGAAAGTTTGCACCGATGATGGATTGAGATTGCGGCGGTTAATGGAGAGCGGGACAGGGAAATCCGTTTAAGGTGTTCTGCAGGGTAATCAGTCGCCAGTTGCTGGGTTGTACTGTGAGTAGGGTAAAATTGAGACTTGCTGGTGGGTTGCTTCTACCGCTGCCATGCCATGCGTGTATTTGAATCCCTTTTTGCAGGCCTTATGATGAGACGGAGGCAACGCTGCGAGAATGTTTGGGTCTGGCGGTTACACGGCGTCTCCAGAAATTCGTCACAGTCTTGAAGGAAGAGGCGTTGCCGCCTCGACACTTCGTCGTGCTGTTCTACCCTAAGGATCTTTTCTTTGTGGACTTGGCGGGGTCTTCTCAGGCTTCGGGGGGACCCCAAGTTGGAGACGAATCGGAGGCCGGGGCAGCCAAGAATGTTAATGTGCTGTGGCATGCAAGCATTCCGCTGGTTCGTGACATTCGGGCGAGCACGCACGGCGTCATCATCCGAGCTGGTCAGCCTGCTGTTCAGCGTCCGAAGGAAGTCCTGGCTGCCCTCAGCAGTCTCGACAGTTCCCCTAGATCTCAAGGTACCCACGGTGGGTCTTTGAGGCATGTGGAGGCTAGGGGAGATCACTGCTACCAGATCCCCTGTCCTTCAGCTGCTCTCATATCTCAGCTGTACAAGGAGTTGTTGGAGGCAGTGCACGGGTCCACGTCTGTAGTGCAGCTCGGCACTTGGGACGCCGAGAGATATACCGAGACAGACGACGACTCATAGCTGGCTGATACAGGGCCTCATATCTGCATGGCACTTGTTTTAATTTACCGTCGCTGCCCAGTGGCAGCAACTGACAATCCGCGTGTTTTTGAGTTAAAGGACACGCACTGCTTTAGGTGCATCTCTTTCTGTCTGCGTGTGCACGGGTCTTCAAGCTACCCGGATGGAGCTGTATAGGGAAAAGGAAAAGGCAGTGCAGAAGTCCTGAAAGTACCTTGTCACATAGGTTCGGTTAGGCAAATGGGTAAGAGATCCTGGCACTAGACGGGCAGGTTCTCACTGAGTTGTCGATATATCCCATCAGCATCTTGTAAGAGTCGGCGATATGTTGTTTCACTGCTCTTCCTATAAGGAAGCATGCATAGACTAAGAACACTACACACCAGAAGTGTTGACACTACAGTGGAAAATAGGCGGGCATGGCAGCCGTAGGTACAGGAGTTCCCAACATAATGGTCCCGTTCTCATTTGGTTCTTTGACGGGAATCCCACTCGTGTTCCTGCAGCTCGTTTGGCTCGTCATGTCTTCTATGCTGTCCCCTCTGTGCTTCCAGTTGAAATTGTTGGGGATAGATGTATGGTATAATTGCACCTTTTCTGGAGAGGGCCAAGAACCGACGGGAATCTCCTGCTGTAAAGGCGTACTGCAATCATGGCGTATCCAGAGGTTGTGGCTGCTACTGCTGCATCTGTTTGGTACTAGGGGATTTCGGTTTTGCACAAATAGGCAGCAGTCAGTCGGGTTGTGCAACTGGGGGCGTTCGGTGGCAGCCTCATCTGCGGCGCAGTGAGCCAGCCTCGGCACCTGGGCTTGTGCATTGGAAACAGTAACTGACTTTCCTACAGCATCTACTACACCATCTGCAGCCGCATTGTTACGATGTTGAGTGAATCCCCTGGTAGCAACAACACACGCAGAATCCTGAGGCTCACCGAGAGAAAAGGAGTGCGGTTTGGGAGGCGGCTGCAGCAATGGAAACACAAAGTCCTCCATGTGAAGCTGCTTAGTTGCCCTGGCGGCCTCTTTGTAGCATATTGGGCTGTCTTCACTTGGGTTGTTGCCACTGCCGCTGCTGCGAAAGGCAGTAGTGGTAAGGATGCTACGCGCTTTGGCATCAAACGACGAAGCCCCCTCTTGCTTATCGTTGCTTCTGCTCCTTTGACTACCCAGGGAAGTGTTCCCTCGTTGTTGGTGGAGCTGCGGCTCCTGTTGCTGTTCTTGTTCTTGCTGCTGTTGTTTTTGCTGGTGGCGCTTATTGTGGCATCGTGGCTGCATTAATCGCAAACAAGTGCATGCAGATTGACTTTCTTTGGCTACAGCTACGCTGAATATTGCAGACCGAAGTCCCAACTTGAACCGAAATGTGGATGGGGGAGGTGGCCAAGTAAGCTGAATGATCTTAGCTGACCTCTGGAGAATGCTCGAGACCTAAAAAAGGTGCTCGCATCTGCTTAGATGGCTGAAGGAATCCAAGTACGCAGGAAACGCAGTCGTGGCAGTTGAGCCGCGTTCAAACACACTGCACTAGGTGCATATCAGGCAAGGACCTAGAATTGACTGATCCATGCAATGTGACCAATCTCCCGTGGGGAAAAGGGCTTCTCCTGCTGACTGAGAGCTTTCAGGGTCAGTGTTCGAGAGGAAATCGCACGGAATTCTGTCGCTTTACCTGGGGAATAAAATTGCATGGCTGGCAAATCTCCTGATCATGCAAAATAATCAACCGAAAACAGCCATAAGTGTGCTGGATTATACAGGGCGACGTATGACTATTGTGTTTTTCTCCTATAGGGGAGCGGACAGGCAAGTACTGTTTGGGGTTTTCTTCTTATCAAATCGTACCATGGCTATGCTCGGTTTCCACTCGGCTATGAAATACTCCTTAGCAATTCCACAGAGGAGTTCCTGAATGTCGAACTCAAGGGGTGGGGTGAGAGAGAGCGCGTGCACCAGCTGCACAGACAGTGAGAAATAGTGCTTTCAGTACCTAAGTTGCCAGCGATATTTCAGTGTGGAAACCCTATATCACTGGGGCCAGCTATTTGGTACACTCCGGAGGAGGGAAAGCAAGGCAAGTGACCTTAAAATGCACTTCCTGCTTTGCATTCTTCACTGCGCCCTCTACGAAAACTTCCCCATACTTCACGGCGAATTGCCGCCGGACGGTTGCCAGCTCGTCAATACCTGCAGATACAGCAGAAAAGCAGTGGACCCTGGTCGTGCCCAAGCAAGTCTAACCCGCTGCTTGTTGCTGCGCATCAAGTGTTGCACGGATCATGGGGCCTGCAGAGGACGCTGATGCGTACTTAGCCGCGGCTCGCAGTAAAGAAGGGTATGGATCGGCGAAAGCAAGTCGGGAGGGCATCGGCGCTCCGTGGTAATGTAGCTCTGCAACTCAACGCGCACTAGGTCTGCCCGTTTTGTTTGGCTGAAAGCTGAAGGCAGCGTTGGGGCTTCCTTGTGGTGAGGCCCCACAGGGCAATCCCCCTCCAGACTCCGCACAGGGGTTGCCCTCGACGAGGATCCTCTCGCCTGCTTGTGATCCCATGCGAGGCAATGCACCCAAGAGCAATCTTTCAACTCGCATACAAAAATAAACCACAACACTCGTCTGGTTGCCGCTGCCTCACTAGTCTGGAAATAAGAAGTTCACACACCGTCACGAGGATCTCCATCGCCCTTTCCAGTCTGTATTCACGCAGGAGGTGTTCTCCTTTCAACCTTGCGCCCTCTTCTCTCCCTTCGCTGACAACAGATCCACAACATACAATGGTACCGAAGGATGATGCATGAAGTGCAAATCGGTATTGCAAAAAGCAGTATGATTGAGAGCTGTCCGGGTACAACACACAGATGTGGACACCAACCTGCGGAATAATCACCACCATCATTTTGCTCCGTACCAAACGGCGATTTAGGAAGCCTGTCCAAGGAAGTTTGCCAGTGGATATGTCAGTACATGAGGATACGAGGGAAAATAGGTTTTATGTGGGCAGATGCAGTGTGAGAGAAGGGGAAGAAATGCGTACCGAAGGAAACTAGCAATTTCTTTGCGTTGAAGTATAATGGAATTTTGCAGTCTGTTGGTGCACATTCGCGCTGCGAAGAGCAGCAGAGCACTAGGCAACCTAGAGGAGTTCTTGGACACAAAGGAGTGCTGTAGGTGTGGCTAGACCTTCCAAGCATTGATATTCTTCTTCTTGATTCAGTTAATCACGAGCAACAAAAGACACTGCTTCGGAGGAAGTAGCTACATCAAATACCTCGGCTAATCGCTAGTTTCAAATTTGCCTTGCACACTGCGCCGTCAAATCTCTCGAAGGGCCAGCGCATCTTCATCTTGGGCTGTGGAAAAGGACACGAATTCGTTTGTGTTGCTGTCTGCTGTATGCGTAGAGGAGCAACGTCGGAAAGGAAAACACAAAAGCAAGCTGGGGATACCGATTGGCTTTGCTCTACCATGTCTGGTGGAACCACTGTGAAACGAATGAAGTGGAAATATTCTAGACAACGTTTTCTACAAGATTATGTTTGGAAAATATTGAAATAAAGGAGCGTGGCATCTACTTCAGCTTGCCTACCGACAATATCACGAGAGTGACCCGGGACTGATCGTTGCCACTGGTGGCAACAACCCCATCCGAATAACACACTTCAGATGGTGTTACACTTTGAAAAGTTGCTTTTCTACTTTTCTAGATGGAGTAACACTGGAAAGGGAAAGACGAGAAGGAGTCATAATTCACTGACTTGATTAGAGGATCTCGAAGCAGGCATGCAGCAATCAAGCTTATGCACGAAACAATGTTTACGTTGCTTCTCAAAATTTGTGTATTCATAAAGTCAACTAGCATATGATGCGTAAAAAGGTAATATTGACATTTTTATAATTGTCGGCCAGCACTGGATCAAAGTCCTGATATATCATTGCCTTCTTAGCTTAGTCGGTAGAGCATTCGCTTAGTAAGCGAAAGGTCGCCGGTTCGATTCCGGCAGGAGGCTGGAACTTTTTGTGCAACCGATTCGCTTAGGGACACTTTTTGTGAAAGCACCCGCCCATAAAAAATTCTTTACATGAAAGATGTGTAAAAGCGGCCCCACCTTGCATAAACTCTGTCAACAACAGCGTTTATGCTAGGTGGGACCGCTTTCAAACAGACGGTCCAACCACCTGCAATTGCATGCGCTTCCTTTTTTTCTCCGAAACACCTCTGAAAAATACTATTTGGTAGAGAGGCAGTTCGACAACAATTAATATATCCCATCTACCAAGCATTTCGTTATTTCCTGGGTCCTGGTCCATGCAAAAAAACAAGCCTCTCCTCCAGTACATTTGCAGCAGCAAACAGTCTCCCTGTGCTGTGTTGCACTGTGCTCGTTGCAAAAAAGCCGAGGCTGAGGGCCCATGAAAAGGAAGCGGACTCTCTATGGCTCTACTGTTGGCAGTTCCAATAAAACTGGCAGGCTGCTAATTCCAGCACTGCGGAGGGTTCTAGACACGCATGCATCCCAGTAAACAGCAAGGTGAAGGCTTGTGGTGCCCCTTTCGCCAGAAACAGGAATATATAAGGGTAGCTGGAAAAGAACAGGAAAACTCGGCATTGTTAAGACTGTAATCAGATTCTACCCAAAAGCAGGTCTTCCTGAACTCTATTGCATAATGCTCGGTGCTATGTTGCGGAGGGCTTGGTGGCCCACAAGCCGCCCACGGTCACAAACCCGCCTTTGATAAAGCAGCCCTCATGCACTGTAAACCTGCAGTAGCTAAGATTTCTGCATTAATCGAAAGTTGAATCTGGCAACCCGCAAGATACCCAGCATCCACTTGCTCTAGCAACAGTAACAATCTCCTATCATGCACTCCGCGCTCCGGTCACAACTTATGATACACAAGAGCGCATGCGCAGGATTATCAGGAAGCTCCACTGATAGGCGTCCAGGTTTTTAACTGTTTACTTTTACAGGCCTTACCCCTCCAGGTGGCTCCGTCTGTTGCCTTAAAGCTTGAGATGCGTGCAGTCCTGTGCACGGGCATGTCACACCACCGGGGTTCCACAAATATGTGCAACCCTGGTACCCCCTTGATTTGCACCAATAAACAGGACAGCAACTGAGGGGATCTTCGAACCCTGACACTGAAGGCAACGAGAGCCGACACTACGCGGTCCCAAAATGGGTTAGTAAGTGGAGATTGGTGCCCGTCGGAGGCGTTCTACATGCTGCTGCATCTGCTGATGTATCACTCTGCGGAGAAGAGTGATACAAGGGCCCAGCTGCTGGAGCAACGAGGGACTTGCAGGCATCCCCTTGCTCATACTGCATGTGGTGCATGGATGCATGCACCTCCAGAATGCACGATGCGGGAAAACTCCCCCATGTGTCAGACAGCGAACTTGTGGCGGAGAAGAGACACCCGCTGCTGCGTTTCCTTTGCCTTCCGCCATTCATGAGCGTCAATGAAGATCACCTGCAGCAGCGGCAGCATATACCTCGGCATGCCCGGCAGATGTCGTAGGAGACGTAGCAAAACACACAGGTACCAACATGCAACAAGCAGTGCGGAGGGCCTTTGGCACTGCAGGCATGCCGCCCATGCAGCCACAGAAGGCAAAGAAGAAGAAACACAAGAGTAACAACAAGACGAACACCACGTACTACATATATATATATATATA